GCTATGAACATGGGTACACATATATCGCTGTGGTATGATTCTTTTAATTCTTTGGGGAAGATACCCAGCAGGGGAATAGCTGTGTCAAAGGGGACTTCCAGTCCTAGTTCTTTGAGGTACCTCCATACTGATTTTCACAGTGCTTGCACCAGTCTACACTCCCACCTGCAGTGGAGTAAGGTTCTTCTTTCCCCACACCCCCGCCACCTTTTGTTATTGGTTGATTTCATGAGCGCAGCCATTGTTTTTTTTTTCTTTTCTTAAGTTCTTTTATTGGTACATTGTAGGTATACAGTTCATTTATATTTATCATTAGGTGTTTGTACCTGTACATGACTATCTTAGTTCTTATTTTTTCCCCATTACCTGTGTGCCTTTCACCCCCTCCACCCTTCCCTATTTACATAGACTTCATTTCCATTTTTTTTCTTTTCTCATAGTTTTTCCTTTCCCTTCTTTTCTTTCCCCTTCCCCTCCCACCACCCCAACATTTTTGGACCTTTTTTCCTATTTCAAATTATCAATTATTCATTTTAGTCATTTTAACCCTTATTTACACTATCAGTTTCTCACATGAGAGAAACTATTCGGTATTTACACGTGTGTCCTATTTATTTCACTTAAGAGTATGGCCTCGATATGCATCCATTTAGCTATAAATAACTCTAGTTTTTCATTCTTTATGGCTGAGTAGTACTCCATTTTATTAAAAAACCACATCTTCTTTATTCAATTTCCAGTTGATGGGCACTTGGGTAATAGCCATTCTTTCTGGGGTGAGGTGGAATCTCAGCATTGTTTTCATTTGCATTTCTCGAATGACCAGTGATGTTGAAGATTTTTTCATATGTTTGTTTGCTCTATTTCTTTGTGTGAGAAATGTCTGTTCATTCCAGATGTCCATTTTTGGATTGGGTCTTTAAATTTGGGAGGTCTGATTTTTTAAAAGTTCTTTATAGATTCTAGATAATAGACCTTTGAGGGACAGCTGGTGAAAAATTTTTCCCACATTGTGGGTTATCTCTTCATACTGTTGGTGGTTCCTCTTGCTATGTAGCAGCTGTTTTTAAAAAAAATTCTTTTATTGGTACATTTTAGGTATACAATATGTTTACATTTATCATTGGGTGCTTGTACCTGTACATGATGTATCTTAGTTCTTATTTTTTCCCCCATTACCTGTGCACCCTTCACCCCCTCCA